TGGTGCTTTACTTGCAGAAGGAGAGAAAGGTGCTCAGTCCCTTGAGCTTCTTCTCTCACAAATTCATCCAGATCTTCTGGCCGACATGGTTATAGAGACCATGAAAAATTTACCAAAAGATTTTTCTGCTTTACCTGAGGGGAACATAAGCATGCCGCTAAATTCTGAGACATCTTTACCCAGTGTTTCTTCACAAGGTTGGCCTACTGTCTCTTCTGCAGCTTCTGGTCAGTCTTCAGCTTTACCATCTGTATTTGCACCAGCAGTAGTGGGGTCTAATGGAATCATCAGTCCTCCATCTGATATACCTTCAGTCCCTAATATTGTTAATGACATTAAGCGAGACCCAAGAAGGGTAAGATGGATTAAACAAGTAACTGAATTGTACTTCCATTATTTTTGTTATTTATATCTGTCACTTGTTTTAGATGTATATATTGAATAATAGCTGCCGTTATACTAAATTACTTTAGTTCTAGGATCCTCGCCGTCTTGATCCGCGTAGGGCAGAAGTGCCTGCTGGTAGTGGCACTATTCCAATGAACTCAAAGGGAATAGATGGCATGCAGGGGCTGATTGTTTCTTTGAGTAAGCCTACTCCTTTGGAGGCGCCAGTGGTAGATGATGCACCAGTGTCCTTGATGTCTAAAAATGAACTTGAAGCCCCTGAGTGTTTGACTGGTCAAGCGACCGAACAACAGATAACTGAAGAAAATTTGGATATCACCTATGGTTCTGCGGAAAGAGATCCCTCTTTGGAAGGTCAAATGCCTACTGATTTGCCACTCTCCCCAGTATATTCTGCTGATCAGGAGTTAATTACATCCATAGAGACGGTTGAAGATGAAAGTGTTGATGGCAACACACTGGAGTCCAATGAGTATTCATCGTGTACTTCTGCGAGGTTGAGCTCTGGAGATGGTAGTCATGATTTTCCTGCAGTGCCGGATTATATCGAGCTGTCAGATGAACAGAAAATGAAACTTAGCAAATTGGCAATTACAAGGCTGGCTGAAGACTACAAGTCGATTCAAGCTTCTGGCTGTGATCAGCCACACCTTTCAATTCTTGCCCGTCTTGTTGCTCAGGTATTGAAGATGCCCCGTAGTTTTATGTTGGGTCTTAGTCTCATTCTGGTGGTTATTTCAGTGTTCTCACCTCAGTGAATGCGTGATTTAGTTTACTGTTTTGGTGGTCTTGCCTCTTGAATGATTGATTTATCAATTTTCACCATGTTCATCAAACTGTATTCATTAAGAAACAGCCATTAGTAGTCAAGTTGTATTTTATCAGGATAATTTAGATAAATTGCCTTTAATTATTCTTGCTCTTCTCTTTCTTGGCCTAAATCACAGAAAGGAATACCAACAGTATTGGGACTTGACAGAAATTTTCCTTAAATATATCTGTGTCCTATGGCTATTCCTTAGTGCTGTTGTGTAATATGTAACTGCAAGTTGAATATTCCCACAAGTTTTGTTGCGTAAACATTTCAATATGTTCTTTGAGAAGAAATTCATAGCTCCCTGTTTTATTTTTTATATAATTCTTCTTTCACTTGATGTTCATTTTCTTTCTTTTCTGTTTCAGATTGACGCTGACAAAGACCTTGTGACATTCTTTCAAAAGCATATTATTTTGGATTATCATCATAATAAGGTATGTTACATTGCGTGCATGAAGCTGTCTCTTTTCAGTACGTTCTCTTGCATAGTATATCCGTATATGCTTTCTTCTGAAGGACAAGATATAGGCTGTCAGAAATAGCACATTGTTTGGTTTAACAGTTCAAAATATTTGTAGTCTCACGGAGAAGAGTATAAAAAGGGTTCAATTGTCAAGCTCGTGATAAAATATTTGGATCAAGAATCTGTATGCCCCAAGTAATAGAATGAAGCAGCATGCTATTTTCAACAATCCATTTTCTTCTACTTAATTCATAGGAAAAACTAAGTTTCAAGTTCTTTTTACTTGTTTATGAGCACTCTTCCTGAAGTTGATCAACAATTTGGACTGGATTTTCTATTTGTATAGTTTTTATTTTAGCTCGAGGGGTATTAACTTCAAAATCCTTCAAATGTAAGTATGTGATATGATCCAAATTAGAATAAAGTGAAAAAAACTGATGAAATTTATCATACAATAAACAAATTTGTATTATAGATTAGTTGTTACATTTTCTATCTGTAGTGAATAAGTTTACATACAATAAACAAATTTGTATTATAGATTAGTTGTTACATTTTCTATCTGTAGTGAATAAGTTTTTCAGGTTTGAGGTATATAAATTGAAACCATGTGACTTGTAGCATCCCTAACACATTTGCTATGAGTCTGCTTGGACTTTCTATGCAATTCTTCTGCAACACAAACTAACAAATTAAGGTCGCACCTTGGAGATGAAGTGACTTTGAAGTCAACATTAATAATTTTTTTCATAAGGAAATCCTATCTGAGGCATGATAAAAGCCCAAGAGCCAGAATGTAAATATATCCCCTTAATGTGCATCCGAACATGACTACCATCCTAGTTAAACATTAACGTCTTTTAATTTTTGTTGCTTTTTCAGGGGCATGACCTTGCAATGCATGTTCTCTATCATTTGCATGCTGTCACTGTATCTGAACTAGAAGACCATTCTTCCTTGGAAACTCATAATTATGAGAAGTTTCTACTAGCTATTGTAAGTTCTGCAGTTATCTAATGGTTTAGTGTGTTGTTACTTCTTTTCTTTCCTTTACTCTTTTTTCCGTATTATGAAATCTGTGGAATGTTCTTTTGGCAGGCAAAGACCTTACTGGATTCGTTGCCAGCCTCAGATAAGTCATTTAGCAGACTTCTAGGGGAAGCCCCCTCCTTGACCAAATCTGCATTTATATTGTTAGAGGATCTATGTCAGTTGCATGGTTATGAGAACCATACAATAGATACTTCTGATGGTGACCGTATTACTCAGGGACTTGGTGCCCTATGGGGCTTAATTTTGGGAAGGCCACTTTATCGGCAGATTTGCTTAGATATCGCTTTGAAGGTATTGTTTGTAGTTTGTACCATACACACACACACATACATACAACAACATCAAAGCATTTATCCCAAATATTTGGGGTCGGCTATATGAATCATATTTCCATTCCATTTTATTATGGGTCATCTCCTCCATTAAGTTAATCATAATCATATTCTTATTAATTACTTCTAACAAAGTTCTTTTAGTTCTACCTCTAGATCTTCTAGCCCCATAAACTATAATACTATCATTTTTTCTAACCGGTGCACTAAGAGGTCTTCGTTGTACATGACCAAACCATCTGAGTTAATTCTCTCTCATTTTATCCTCAGTCAAAGCAACATCTAATTTACTACGGATGTATTCATTTCTTATCCTATCTTTTAGTATATACTTACTAGACCATGGTAACATTCTCATTTCTGTTGTACTCATTTTTGCGTATGTTTTTTAATTGCCCGACACTGACTTATAAAGCATTGTTGGTCTTGTAACTAACCTAGAGAATTTTCTCTTTAGTTTCATTGATATGCTACGATCATATAATATTCCCAAAGCATTCCTCTATTTCCACCATCCCGATTTGATTCGATGGACAACATCATCCCCAATCTCTCCATCATGCCGAATGATTGATCCTTAATAGGAAAAATGATTTCTTTTAGATATTTTTTGAATATCAATATGTACTGTAGGCTCTCTTCTTTTCTTAGTTTTGCTAAAAATACACTATATATTCTGTTTTTGTTTTACAAATTCTAAAACCTTTAGATTCAAGAGCTTGTCTCTACCTTTCTACTTTAAAAATTATACATCTTCTAATTTCGTCAACTAACACTTTTTTATCCGCAAATAACATACAACATGAGATTTCATCCTGAATGTGCCTAGTAAGTTGGTTAATAGCTAATGAAAAAAGATAAATGACTTAAGGTCGACCCTTGATGTAAATCTTTGGTAATAGGAAACAGTTTAGTCTCTCCTTCATTAGTTCTTATTCTAGTTGTTACTCTATTATACATATCTTTAATCACATCAATATATACTAGATACATGTTTTTTTTGTAAAACTCACTATATTACTTCTCTAGGCACTCTATCATAAGCTTTTTCTATATCTATAAAAACTATCCTTTTTTCTCTATATATCTCTCTATCAACTGTCTCAAAATAAGTATAGATTCTATAGTTGATCTCCCGTGCATAAAACCAAATTAATTTTCAGATATACTTGTCTCCTTTCTTAGTCTTTTCTCAATTACCCTCTCCTAAAGTTTTATAGTATGACTCATGAGTTTTATACCATGATAATTTGAACAACTTTGTATATCTCCTTTATTCTTGTATATCAGTATCAAAGTACTAATCCTCCACTCATTGGACATCCTTTTTGTCCCGATAATCTTATTAAATAATTTAGTTAACTATCCTAAGCTTATATCTCCAAGATATTTCTAAACTTTAATAGGTATATTGTCCTGTCCTACGGTTCTTTTACTTTTTATTTTCTTTAGAGCATCTTTAACCTCACTAGTCTTAATTTTTCGACAATATCTATAGTTCATATCATTCATTATATGATCAAATTCTCTATGTTGCTCACTTATTTGGTTATCATTAAATAATTTATGAAAATAACTCCTCCACCTCTTTTTTATTTTTCCGTCGGTTACTAGAACTCTTTGATATTCGCTTTTAGTATACCTAATATTACCTAAATCCCTACTCTTCCTTTCTCTAATCTCAGGAAGCTTATATATATATGTGTGTGTATATGTGTATATCTTTATATGTATCTTTCTTTCCCTCCTTATATTCTAACTTCTTATAGAAATTCTCATAAGCCTTGTATTTAGTCTCATTCACCGCTCTTTTTGCGTCCTTCCTTGCTCGCTTATATTTCTTTTAGTTTTCCTTGCTCCTACACTTTAGCCATTCTTTATATAATATTTTCTTCTCTCTAACCGCCTTTTGCACACCCTCATTCCACCACCAACTCTCCTTACCATATAATCTATAACATTTAGATCCTTCTAGTATATTTTTAGCCACCTTCTTAATACAAGAAGACTTGCTACTCCATATAATATTAGTCACATTATTCATATTTCATATTTCTTCCTTCATTATCTTATTTTTAAAAATGCATTAAAATCTTTTCTTTTAAGTTCCACAGTTTAGTTCTTAGTATCTTGTTATTGTTAGTTTTTCTACTCCACTTGTTGATAGACATGTCTAATATCATCAATCTATGTTGCGTAGTTAAACTCATGCTAACCTATCCACCTTTCTAGTAAGAAAAAAGTCTATTTGACTACTATTAAATCCACTTTTAAAGGTTATTAAGTGTGTATCCCTTTTTCTAGATTGTGTATTTGCTATTATCAAATCATATAATGTTGCAAACTCTAAAAAGGTAAAGTCACTCAAACATTTTAATGTGCAATAATTAGCTGTCTATCTTGGAATTCCCGCTTTTTATCTGTGAATGGAAGAGAAACTTAACGGTCTCTTGTATGGCTAGACAAAGGGACCATCTGTCATGCTCTTTTTTATTTGGGTTTAGACGGTATAAATGTATTGGTATATGGTACTGAATATAGGCATGTATCAGACAAGTCAATAACAACTAAAGCCTCTATCCTAAATGTTTAGGGTTAGCTACATGAATCCTATTCTTTTATTCCGTTTTATTATGAGTCATCTCCTCTATTAAGCTAAGCATAATCATACCTTTCTTGATTGTTTTCAACCAAGTTCTTTTAGGTCTACCTCTAGATCTCTTTGCTCCATTAGCTATAATATCATCAATTTTTCTAATCGACAATGTTTTAATTATCGGCCGATAAACCAATAATATTATCGGCGATTTATCGGTTTTGGGGGCCTTCTGCTATGATAAGTTCAATTCTAGGTTGGTTATCGTTTTTGAATGTTTATCACCGATAATGCGGTAACAAAGTGAGTTATCAGTCGATATTGTCGACCAAAAATCAGAATTATCGGCATTTGGTTTTAGTTTTGATTTCAGGCAACAGACATCTATTCAATGCACTTTAAATCCAACCCGACCCGAGTTTCTACCATTTGTTAGTAATCCTAAACATAGCTATTTATATTTGGTTTTTTCTATAGAGTGCCCATGGGCACTCTATAAGAGAGAAGAGAGATAGAGAGAAGTGAGTTGCCCATGGGCCCTCCTGATTTGCACTAAATTCTATGGGCAATTCATTTCTCTCTATCTCTCTCCTCTTTTATAGAGTGCCTATGGGCACTCTATAGAAAATCCTTTATATTTTGGTATGTTTATATTTCATTAAGTATGATCAGATTACATTTTAGAATATTATATTATGTATATCATCATTCGGTAATGACACTCCAATAAATCTTATCCCCGATATGTGTCCGGTATCCACTATCTGATATGGATTCTGACCGTCTGATAAGTCCCCGATATCTGATATTTAAAATCTTGCTAATCAGTACACTAAAAGGTCTACGTTGTACATGATCATGCCACATTAATCGATTCTCTCTCATTTTATCCTCAATAGGAGCAACTTCTAATTTACTACAGATGCATACCTTATTTTTTAGTGTATACCTGCTAGACCATCTCAACATTCTCATTTTTGCTACACTCATTTTTTTACACCTTGTTTTTTAATTGCCCAACATTTCAAACCATTAAGCATCGTTAGTCTTATAATTGCCCTATAAAATTTTTCTTTATGTCTTATAAGTATTCTATGATCACACAAGACTCTTGAAGCACTCCTCCATTTTAACCATCTCGATTTGATTTGATTGACAAAATCATCCTTAATCTCATCATCATGCGAAATGATTGATCTTATGTAACGAAATTGATTACTTTTAGCTATCTCTTGCCCATTAATATGTACTATAGGCTATTTTCTTCTTTTAGTTTTACTAAAAATACATTCTATATATTTTGTTTTTTGTTCTACTAATTTTAAAACATTTAGTTTCAAGAACTTGCCTCCACTTTTCTACTTTAGAAATTATACTTGTTCTAGTCTCGTCAACTAATACTATATCATCAGCAAATAACATACACCATGACAGTTCATCCTAAATATGTCTAGTAGGTAACATACACCACACTTCATCCTGAATATGTCTAGTAAGTTGGTCCATAACTAAAGCAAAAAGATAATAGCGTAAGGCTGACCCTTGATGTAAACCTATGGTTATAAAAAATAACTTAGTTTCTCCTTAATTAGTTCTTACTTTAGTTGTTACTCTATCATACATATCTTTAATCACATTAATATATAAACTAGATACGTGTTTCTTTTCTAAAACTCAGCACATAACCTCCCTAGTTACTCTATCATAAGCTTTTTTTTAGGTGTATGAAAATCATGTGTAAATTCTTTCTTTTCTCCTTATATTTCTCCATCAGCCTTTTCAAAATATGTATGGGCTCCATAGTTAACCTTCCGGGCATAAAACCGAATTGATTTTCAGATACACTTGTCTCTTTTCTTAGTCTTTGTTCAATTACCCTCTCCCAAAGTTTCATTGTATGACTCATGAGTTTAATACCACGATAATTTGAGCAACTTTGTACTCATCTCATAAGCAATTTGCTGGTGGAACTTGTGTGGGAGCAAGCACACTCATGACCTTTATTCAGGTGCATTCTAGATATTTGTTCTGTCATTTATTATTAGTTTGAACTCTTCATAAAAAGTTAATCTTCTTCATTAAGAAAGATATTATGGTTTATTAGATAAATTATGTAAATATCAACATTGGTCTAGGCTTTAAATCAACATTGCTTCGGATTTTGGTTGACATGCATTGATTTGATAAATAGATTTAGGTTTTTTCGGTCAGGATTAGTTTAAGGTACATGTCATATTGACAAAATTTATAAGAAGAGATTTGTAGATGAGCCATACCTACTAAACTGTCTTTGAAAACTCAATTTTGATTAATAGATTCGTATACAAAAACTGTTATGACTTCTACTGGTGTAGAAAAGAAATGAATATATGTTGTTTTCCCTTACTTTTCTAAATTTAAGCGATCGTCTTTTACAAAATCCTGTGGATTTTTCACCTTGCAGTGCTCAGTTCACTCTCATGATGAAGTTAGAACCAAAGCTATCAGATTGGTATGAAATCACTTACCCACACTTTAACGCATTGCTCTTATTACTATTTATTGTTCCCTCTATTACATGTACAATGTTCCTTTGAACTATTTTTACATTAAAGTGTGAATACTGGCAAGCCTTGTACCAAACAGATTATTTTTTTTCCTTTTTCTTTTTTTGCTTTACTGCTTATTTCTCCATATATTTTCCCCCCTTTGTTCATAATCTCTCTCTCTCTCTCTCTCTCAAACATTCTATTCAGGTGGCAAACAAGCTCTTTCTTCTACCCTATGCAGCAGAAAGTATTGAGAAGTTTGCGAAGGACATGTTGTTTTCGGTTGTTGATCAGCAAGTTACTGAAGCGGAGACCAAAGATCTGGCATCCAGTGAACAAATGACAGAAGTAATATGATAATTTCCTGTTTACTAAAGTATTATTTTTTATCTGAAGGCCCTATATCTCGCCCGCCCCCCCCCGCCCCTCCTCTTTTTCCTCCTATTTGGAACTTTGTGTCTTTGAGCACTGGGTTGGAACTTAACTACTAATTCACATGATAAGTTATAGTTCATTGGCAGCAGATATGTTACATCCAATAAATGAATAAAATCAGCAAGAGCTATCTATTTGTGTCCATCATTCTTCTATCGACAGGTAGAAGTGAGTATTCCACCGGTTCTATCTAATCATATGGGTTTTTAAGTTCTGAAAGTTGAAATGAGTTTACAGAACACAGATAGGAGTAATACTGGATGTGTTACGTCCAAGAAATAAATTTAATCACCATCAGCTGTCTATTTGTGTCCATCGTGCTTCTATTAAGAGTTAGAAGTGTCCAGAATGATGGGTCTTACGGTTCTGGAAGTTGAAATGAGTTTATTGAACACAAGTAGAAGTGATATTATTCTTCCTGTAAACAAAGTTTTTTATTGGTACATCCCTTGTGCAACACTAAATGAGCATGCAGACTACCATGCCGTCTAAAGTGGTATTACATTGTGGTACCTGTATGTGTCATCAAATAGGAAATGATCAATGCATTTTGTAACATCGAAAATTTTTGAGATCACCAAAACCGTGTGATAATAGTTGATATTTTGTTTACTGTGTTGGTTTACGAAATCTTTTCTAAAACTTTGGATGTAGCTTAGGCAGGCCTTCTCCTTGGAAACATAGATCTTTCATGATTTTATTTCATGTGTACACATTAGATTTTTCATATTATCCACAACGGGAGGGGATAATGAGAATGCTTATCTAACAAAAGATTTTATATTACTATCTCGTGTTAAGACCAGTTCTCTTTACAATGATGTCCCTTATCTGTAAAATTTTAACTGCATCATCATCTACTGGAGCCATTTTCTTTACTGTTTAAACAAATAATTTTGATCATGAATATATGTACATTTTTTCAGACAGGTCGCCAGGAAACTTCTATTAATGGTTCTCATTATTCTGAGCTTGGACCTGAAAGTGGGCCGGGCATTCAATTATCTCCACATAGTATTCAGCGACAAACTTCATTATTCTTTGCTCTTTGCACAAAGGTCTTCATTTCTTCTATTAATGTCTGCCTCTGCTTTTCTTTTCTGTTTTGGGCCTGTTATACTAACTATATATGTTCTTTAGCAGAAGCCCAGTCTACTTCGTCTTGTATTTGATGTCTATGGAAGGGCGTCGAAGGTTGTCAAACAGGTATCATTCTTTTGTCTATGTTGGTTCATGTTTCTGCGTAGGCTTGTTGAATTACTCGTAATTTATTAGCATAGAGGAAATGCATACCCTACTATCAACCTGTAGAGTTTCTATGATCTGTAGAGTTTTATGTATATCAAACACTATTCTTTTGTTCATTTCACTTATTAGCTGCTTCTGTTATCAATTTATGACAACGTAAAGCATTCGGTATTCAGATATTATTTATGCTGACTGTTAAACTTGCAGTCTATCCATCGTCATGTTCCTGGTCTTGTAAGAAATTTAGGCCCATCATATCCTGAACTGCTGCAGATAGTTGCTGATCCACCTGAAGGAAGTGAAAATCTCATAACACTGGTACATCTTACTACTAAAATCTATTTCTTTATGCAAGTTTACATATTTTCATGTATTTCAAATGACTCTTCTCTTTCCTATTTATTTCTCACTTTAAGCTATTACAACTGATGACTGAAGAATCAACACCTTCTGCGGATCTTATTGCTTCTGTCAAACATTTGTATGATACAAAACTGAAGGTAGAAATGGTCTCCCTTTATATAGCTTATTTCATATTTTGTTCTTTTTTGGGAGTATCCACTCCTTTTGTTTTATGTATTTAATTGAATTCTTCTATGATATCTATAGATGATTCAGTGTCATTTAGCCTTTGTCTGGTTTTAGTCTAATAAATGCTTATGCTTATCTCATGCAGGATGTCTCCATTCTCATTCCAATGCTTTCTTCACTTTCGAAAGATGAGGTCTTTTCTCCATTTTATTTACCCTAATCTCTTAATGAATTATATTTGTTCAGAAGTTAATCAAGTAGGACGTGCGTCTTTTATTCTACTTGTGTAAAAGATTATTACTTAAGCATTGCTAATATCTAATAATTCCGTCAGGTTTTGCCTATCTTCCCACAGCTTGTTGATCTGCCTTTGGAGAAGTTTCAAGCTGCACTTGATCGTATTTTACAGGTACGTTGTGACATTTTAACCATTAAATGTCAGACTTGGGATCATGCTTTCGCGGGTTTTTTGTGAATGTTATGATTCTTCATTCTCGTTTGTGCAAAAGCGACATGTTGAACATGATAGGGAGGAAGGCTGGGTGGAAGGGTTTGGTTTACTTTTGAGATGTGGCTGTAGGCTTGTAGAGGGTTATAAGATGATGAGGGTCCAAGATTTGACTGAACCACGGGAAAATGTTTGTTTCTCATTAACCAAGATCGAACACTGGAATTACAATGAGAAAACCCCAAATCACAATCACCACAACAAAATCACAGATTTCTAGGGATACAACCCTTTATCTATTAGACATTCTAAGCACAAAACAACTATGCCTAACTAAGCAACTCTAGCCTTTACAACTCCAAAACCCAAATCACAATCCACCCAAACCCAAATCAAAATCCATGCAAGACGAAACCTACAATCACACACACCGGGGAAGAATGAGAAGAAGGCTTGTTGAACGAAAGAAGTCGGAAGTCGAGGAGGAGACGAAGAGCAATGAAGGCCAGAGATGAACCGATGACGGAAGAAATTTTAAAAAAAGAAGTGGGTGAGAGGGGGGGGAGAGAGTGGTGATTCATCCTATACAAGAGCTCTTGAAAGAGGGCTTAAATAGTTAGGGTATCCATTGATGCTGTAAGATAACGGGTCAGGTGATCGGTTGGTTTGTTTCGAATTAATCCGACCCGCATCACTTGTGGTCAATTGGACTGAGTGAGCCTATTTGAATCCAAAACCTCAACAGGCCCATCTCTATTTGGGTTAGCCCCTCTCATTATTTCATCTGTGAATGTATCAACGACTCCCCCCTTTGAATTCAACCTTGTCTCAAGGTCGAAATCTTGAAAGCGCTTTATGAGGTCCCAATAAATTTTCAATGTTGCAGCAACTGCATCTAAATTCTTCTATTTGACAAGCACTTCTGTCATTGCATTGTTGTTGCGAGGGAACATTCGATGCTCGAGGTTAGACATCGGCTCTAGGACAATGACTAAATCATCTGGGGAAAGTCTAGTAGAAGCAGACAATGATAGGCTGAGATGTTTCTTGAGAAGAGACACGTGAAAACATGGCGAATTCTGGAATCAGTAGGGAGAGCCAAACGGTAAGCTACCGGACCAACACGTGTCGGGATCGCGAAGGGGCCATAGAAATGCAGGGATAATTTTTTAGTGCACCACTGATCCCCAACAAAGAGCTAACGATATTGCTAGAGATTTAGATAAACTGTGTCTCCGATAGAAAACTCTATCATTCCAAGTCTGCCAAGCGCTTCGTGCGTTCTTGAGCCAACCGCAAGTTATCTTTGAGTTGCTGGAGCACTATATCTCGAGACTGATAGGAAGCACCTGCTACAAAGTGGGTAGAGGAAGGTGTATATGAAAGGAAAGTAGCGGTTTGCGACCATATAGTATTTCATAAGGGGCAAATTTAGTAGACGAGTGCTAAGAGGTGTTGTACTAATATTCCGCCTATGACAACCAAGAGGCCTAGTCCTTTGGTTTGGAGCTACAGAAGCAGCGCATGTAAGTTTCAAGTATTTGATTGACAATCTCAGTCTGACCATCAGTTTGTGGATGATAAGTTGAGCTAAGGGAAAGTTTCACACCATGAGAGGACATCAGGCCTTGTCAATGGTTGCTCGTGAGTATAGTACCGCTATCTGAAATGATTGATTTGAACATCCCATACAGTTTGCAAGCTACATCAGTGATGATGCTTACACTTTAGAAGCCATGAATGGGTGGGAAAGAGTGGGAAAATGAGCATACTTGGAGACACGATCACACCACAACTAGAATAATAGATTTACCATGACTGGGTGGAAGTCCCTCTATAAAATCCATAGAGACGTCTTCCCAAACTTGTTCGGGTATCGGGAGTGGCTGGAGGAGACCGACCGAAGAAACAAAGTCTTTTTTGTTTCTTTGGCAGATGTTGCAACCGCGAATACAACGACGCACATCGCCTTTCATGCCTTACCAATAAAAAGCATGACGCAACCTATGTAAAGTCTTTTCAACTCTTGAATGGCTAGCTAAAGAGGTGTTATGGTGCTCAAATATGATGGTTTGTTGTAGGTCAGTTGTAGGGCTAATGAGCACTCTTTCTTTGTAGTAGAAAATATTGATGGTTTGTTGTAGGTCAGTTGTAGGGCTAATGAACACTTCTTTGTAGTAGAAAATATTGTTTTTGAGGGTGATGTTTGTGGGCAACGGAGAGTGAGTATCCAGTTGTGCGCGCAATTGGAGAAAGAATGGATCAGATGCTTGCATACAGGTGATGACATCCCACCAATTGGCTTTGACTGTGACGAGAGAGAGTAAAGAGTGGTTTCTTCGAACTGGTAAGAAAGGTTATCAGTCGCTTTGTTATCACGACCTTTTTTGTAGTTGACGATATAAGGAAAATCATGTAGTTTTGATAGCTAGTGGTGTTGCCCATCGGTGGATAGGCGTTGATCGAGCAAGTGCTTGAGCGGCTTGTGGTCTGTGTTAATGATAAATTACCAACTATATAGATATTGCCTCCATTTATTGACAGCGAGAAGAATGGCTATCATTTCCTTATCATAGGCTGATGCAAACCGGCCTTTGGTCTTGAAGGATATATATGTGTGTGTGTGTGATAGGATGACCCTCTTACATTAGGACTGCATTGATTCCCTCTTGTGAAGCGTCACATTCGATGACAAATGTTTTGTGTGTGTGTGATAGGATGACTCTCTTGCATTAGGACCGCATTGATTCCCTCTTGTGAAGCGTCACATTCGATGACAAATGTTTTAGAGAAGTCAAAGTAAGCTTAAAATTAGGGAAGATGATATGACACTCTTAAGTTTATCAAAGGCCTCTTGAGCAGTCATGGACCATCGGAAAACACCCTTCTTGGTAAGGGCAGTTAAAGGCGCTGCTATCTTACCAAAGTTGCGGATAAACTTGCGGTAATACCCCGCAAGACCCAAAGAACCATAAGTTTTAGGGGTTGGCTATGAAGTGATGGCATCAATTATTTAAAGATTAAGTGCTATGCTCTCGGTTGAGACAATATGCCCAAGATAGCCAACTTGAGATTGAGCAAAGCAACATTTAGATAATTTGGTGAAGAGTTGATTGGCTTGAAGGATTTGAAGAGCAGTGTCAAGGGGTGAAATATGGGCATCCCAAGAGTTGCTATCAATTTGAATTTCATCGAAGAAGACGAGTACGAATCGCCAAAGATATGGACGGAAGATGTCATTCATCAATGACTGGAAAGTAAACAGGGCGTTAATGAGCCCGAAGGGCATCACTAAGTACTCATAGTGACCGAAGTGAGTTCGAAAAGCGGTTTTATGGACATCATCTGGAGCCATTCGAATTTGATGGTAACCTAATCGAAGACCCAGTTTGGAGAAGAAACAAGAACCATGAAGTTCGTCTAAAAGGTCATCAATCAATGGAATTGGGTATTTATCTTTGATAGTGAGTCTGATTAAGAGCATGATAATCACACAGAAATGCCATGAGCCATCATGCTTCTTCACTAATACCATGGGGGATGAAAATAGGCTCCGACTCGGTCTAATGATGCCTGAAGTTAGCATTTCCTGGACCATTGTTTCTATAACATTATTCTGATCATGACTATAGCGGTAAGGTCTGGTACAAACAGGTTTAGATCCTAGAATCAAGGGAATATGATGATCATAAGATCTTTAGGGTGGTAATATAGGAGTGGTGCAGAAGACGGAAGAATATTTGCCTAGTAGTGTATTGACGATTTTAATGTAGCTTTAGAAAAGGACTGAACTTTAGAAGCAAGGAGGAGAACTCTATGATACTTATTGAGAAAATGAGACATGCTTTGTTCGTCCACTAAGAGAGCTTTAGAAGCTGTATTGCCACGAATAGTATACGACATACCTTCAATATGAAATTTAATTGCCCTGTTAATGAAGTCTAGTGTAGTTTCCCTATGGAAGTCATCCATTCAGTCCTCAAGACAATATGATAGTTGCCAATTGGCAAGATCAAGGAGTTGGCATATAGGTTAAGGTCTTGACAACCTTGATCGGACTGGAAGCCCCCTCCAGTAATTTGAACAGTAAAACTGGAGAAATTATTGGTGGGGAGTTTTGCTTTACACACATTCTAAGGATCAATATAGTTACATGACGCTCCACTATCAATCAATATGTGAACAGGGATGTCATGGATAGAGTCAGAGAGACTGATGGAGTGAAGGGAATTAACACCTTGGATGACATTATGTATGATGGTAGGAATCTCATCGGACTCAGACGGTTCCTCAAGTGAAGGAGTAGCCTCATCATCATCAGAGTCATGAATCCAAGAGCCTTCGGCAAGGAAAAGTGTTTGTCTTACATTTATGCCTTGAAGTATATTTTTCAATGCAAGTGAAGCAAAGACCCTTGTGACGTCGCTCTATAATCTCCATGGCTGAAAGTCGTTTGGGTCCTGATTGTTGGAGCAACGCTAGTAGGTGGAGGGAGGGGTGGAGGTTCGGTGTAGGAGGGACTTGAATGTAAACGAGAAGTGTACCAATTTGGTCCTGTGGGACGACGTTGTGCTATATAATTGCTATCATGATTAAGGGGCAACCAAAATTCATATTGTAAGGTTTGTGGACAAACCACCCTCACATAATGTATTAACTCCTCCTTTAAGCGGCCAATATAAGCACCAATGAGACGTTCCTCTAATAGACCATGCACCAAGATACTGAGCTTGAGGAATCTACGTTGATATTCTTTAATTATGGATGTCTGTTTGATGCGAAATAAGGCAATCGAGGGGTTATGATAATTGTGAGGCCCAAACCTTGCTCTAATCCATTGTGAATGATTCCCAAGTAGGGGTGCATTCGGTTCGGATACGGTTCGGATATGACACTTACCATATCCATATTCGCTTTCTAAAAACGCATACGAATACGTGTACGGATATTCATCCGTAAGA